ACACACTACAACAGTTGCTGAACACGCACTTCCCAGGGTCCGCTGATCCGGACACAGGGGGAATATTGAAACCGAGGGTCGTCTTGGATGCGACTACGCCACGGCAAGGGGGGTGCTTACCCATAGTAGGCTGAGGTGGGCTATTGACAGCTTTGGCCCCTTTAAGTCGGCGGGCGGGGATAGAGTATTTCCGGCTCTGCTGCAAAGGGACGGAGGTCTCCTGACCAGCCCGCTGATGGACCTGTTCAGGGGGTACGTGCCCGGGCTGTGGAGACACAGCAGGGTGGTATTCATTCCCAAGGTAGGGAAGAGTGACTACACGGACCCGAAGTCGTACCGGCCCATTTGCCTCACCAGCTTCATTATGAAGACTCTGGAGAGACTGGTGGACCGGTATCTGAGGGACTGGGTGGAGCTGGAGGCCCCTTTAGAGCCAACTCAGCATGCGTCCCGAAGTTGCGGGTCTGTGGGCTCAGCTCTTCACCATCTGACTTCCAGGTTGGAGGAGGGTATGGGCTCGGGACGGCTGTCGGTGTGCGTGTTCGCTGACATCGAAGGGGCATTCAATAACACAGCCCTGTACTCGATCTGCAGGGCGGTTGAGAGTACTGGAGTGGGGACGGCCATTGTAAGGTGGATCCGCTCCATGCTAACCGACCGGAGGGTCGAGGCAAGACTGGGTGGGGAGCAGGTCTCCATCGGTTCATCACAGGGTTGTCCACAGGGCGGGGTCTTGTCCCCGTTCCTGTGGTGCCAAGTGGTGAACGAGATATTGCATATTCTGAGGGAAGAACACGGGGTCAATTCTCAGGCATATGCAGACGACCTTGTGATAATGACACAGGGGACGGACGTGAGGAGGATGAACGGGGCATTGGCATGATTCTCACAATGGTCCCTGGACAGCAAGTTGGCTGTCAATCCTGGCAAGGTGGAGATGGTCATCTTCACTAAAAAAAGGAAGATGGAGTGCAACCTCAACATTTCGGTGGATGGGGTGCCTCTTTCTGCAAGCGGAAGTGTCAAGTACTTGGGCGTATGGTTGGACTCTAAGTTGACCTTCCAGGAACATATAAGATCAAGGACCAGGTCGGCCTTTGGAGCTCTGTGGGCGTGCCGGAGAGCGGTAGGGGGCACTTGGGGCCTGGGGCCGAAGATCATGCAGTGGATATACGGTACCATGGTGGTGCCTATGCTCACGCATGGGGCAGTGGCATGGTGGCCGGGGACCAAAAGAGCCTGAGCAAGGCTAGTTCTTGACAAACTGCAGAGATTGGCTTGCCTCTGCATAACGGACGCCATGAGAACGGCGCCCACGAGGGCCCTAGAGGCTCTGGTGGGGTTGCCCTCTCTGGCGGATCGGGTGTCGATGGAGTCGGCCAGGACAGCTGTGAGGCTGGCGACCTGCGGGCTCTGGGAGGGAGGGAACCTTCAATCGGGGTCCGTACGACATTTTAGAGGGCTGTCGCGGGGATCGCGGGGTCATGGGCATGCCGAGTTACGTCATGATCCCCGAGATGACCTTCTTTGACAAATTGACCTTTCTCTTTCCATCAAGGGAAGATTGGAGAGAGGGCAGAGTCGGTTCCTGGGATGAACTTGTCTGGTACACGGACGGGTCCAGAATGGGAGATCTGGCCGGAGCTGAAACGTACTGCGAGACAACGGGATCGAGATTGTCGGTCCCTCTGGGTCAGTACTGCACTGTGTTTCAGGTGAAAATTTTCGCTTTATTGATGGCGGCCAGAGAGGTGCTTCGGCTCAATCACGGGAGCAGGAGAGTCTTCTTCTGCTCGGATCGTAGGGCTGCACTCATGGCGCTGAAAGGAGTGCAAAGGGGTACTGAGGAGGGTGGCTGAGGAGAGAAAGGTCACGTTGGTCTGGGTCCCGGGTCACACCGGTATACGGGGCAATGAGGCAGCGGACGCCTTAGCCAGAGAGGGCTCCTCGCATAGGCATATAGGGCCAGAGCCTCGCTTGGGGATCGCCCCGTGTGTGAGGCGGGGAGCTCTCGAGGCCTGGGCGAGAGACCGGGCCGCGAGGGGCTGGAGAGTTGCTCCGAGAATGAGGCAAGCGAGGCTTATGATAGATGGGCCCGCCTTTCCTCGGACCAGGGAGCTGCTTAGACTGACCTATTAAAGGCGTTCGAAAAATCCCAACCCACGTATTACACCCAAAACGATGTTGATGGTGAACTCGAGGATTCCATTCCATTATTTGTTACCATACTTTCGTTGGATCAAATAATCTTATGGGAAAGTGTTCATCCTTCTGATACTTCGCAATATTTTCTTCGCTTTTCTCATCACCAAGGGGAAAATTTTTGTTTTCTAATTTTTTTTCTAAAATGAGCACTAAATTTCGCAGATAATTACTTATTCTTTATTGCAGAGTTTATTTCTGGATAAAACTGGTATCGTTAATGCACCACACTACTAAAGATTTTTAGTCAATCTTCTCTCCGGGTAGTTATTTAAATACATACAGCCAACGTGAATAGCTTTATTACAGCATAAGATATAACATTGTAGCCTAACTTCTCCTCAAGTGAAAAAGCATGTTCCGTTTTGTATAGCAAAAAAGAACCATAAGTATTTGGACATTTTCTCAACGCCACCATGCTAGCACCTACCGAAAATTTAATAAAAACCCTTTTTAGTGATAGTGTGACCGTTTGAAAAAATAAAGTTGAAGACGATTTCAATAAAACGTGGAAGTTACATTTTTTCAACGCTATCTTGTAGATCTTAAAAATGGAAAAAGTGGCCACTTTGAATAATCAACACGGTTGTAAGTGGCATATGCATCTAGGTGTCTTTGCTTCAAAATTGTCTTATTTTCCCCCCATTTAGGCAACTCGATTTTTTCACTTATTTAAATGAAAAGCGAATTTGTGAGACCGGTATACAAGAACAATTTAATAATGAAGGTATTTGGCTTTATTCTCTGTAAAAAAATTGCGTTGATACTTTGTCCAAATTTAATTAATCTACAGTGTGCCCTAGTTGACAAATATACACCCTTGTTAAATCTTTGTTTATGGCTCGATTTTGATAATTTCTTTTTTTTTGGATAGGTGTCTGAAAAATGCACTAAAACCTTGTTTTGCTTATTGCTTCAACTTGAAGTCGTGGCCAACTGAGACTAATTAACAAAGGAGAGAGAAGAGAGAAGAACTCTTTGGGATTTAAAAAAAATAAATTGGCACACGAATTCTTATTCAGAAGTACTTAGAACCCAACCATACAAATTTTTATAATGTTTCAATACAGGGCGTTTGAAATATCGTTTGCGCCCCGCTTAAGAATGTACATAGTTTTAAAATCTTTTATTACGGTTTGGTTTTGATACTTTTTTTTTGTTGCACAGATCTCGCAAAAACGCACCAAAAACCTTATGTTTCTTATTACGTCAGCCTGAAGTCATGGTTAACTGGGACTAATTTTTGATGTCAAATGTCAAAATGGGCTATTAGGTATTTCTTTAAGAATAGAGTGTCAACGAATTTTTATTCAGGAGTACATAAAACCTAACTATACTAATTTCCATGAAGTTCGAATACAGGGTGGCTCAATTTTGATAATTCTTTTTTGTTGGATATATTTCACTGAAAGATAGTAAAGATTTCCTTAAAATTAAATATGATTGGAGAGGATTAGATATGAAATAAGCAGACTTTTACAACGCTGTATTTTTTTAATTAAAAAGGATTTTTAATTCTCATCTAATAAGGAAAATAACAAACATATCAAAATTGATTGACGTCGGCACATATACTTTGTAAAACCAAGTTTGCCATGGAGAAGCGAACAGTCAACAGTCAAATTCACTTGCTAATTTATAATTTAATTTTGTTTACATCTTTCGAATACTAAGATTTATTAAGACTAAAAAATGAACGTCTCTTAAAAAGTATTTGTTATCATTATTTTTGAAATTTGTATAGTCAAAGTTTGTAAGATCTTAAAATCACTTACAAAATAATCGTTATTTACAAGGTTTACAATATTTAATTTTTTAAAACATTAAAAACTTTGGTCACTGTTCTAGTGACTTTTAGGTAGTCCTGAACACGAATCTGTTGTCATTTTCAATTTGAAAGAATTTCTTCGCGATTTTCCGCAAAAAGGATTAACAAAATTGAGCCATAAATAAACATTCTACAGGAGTAATGCTTAAACGAGGCCCCCGAGACATTTCAAACAAACTGTATTCGAACCTTATGGAAAATAGTATAGTTCGGTTTTATGTAATCCTGAATAAGAATTCGTTGGCACTTTATTTTTAAAAAAATCGCTAATAGCCCTTCTCGATATTTGACATCAAAAATTAGTTCCAATTTGCCAATTTATTTTTTTTTAAATAGTACCTCTCTCTTCTCTCTCTTTTGTAAAACAGTCTCAGTTGACCATGGCTTTAAGTTGAAGCAATAAGCAAAACAAGGTTTTAATGCATTTTTTAGAGACCTGTCCAACAAAAAACATTATCAAAAACGAATAATAAACAAAGGTTTTACAAGTCGGACACACTGTATACAGTTTTTATTTATTTAAATAACTACAGCAAGGGTAACCTCAGTAGACCACAGATAATACAAGGTGTTTTATATTAAAAATTAAAGTTTTAAAGTAACATTAGCACTAATACATAAATGAACACATTTCCAAAGCACCTTTTTACGTAGAATTTAACCTTTTTAGTACATTTTTTTAAACTAATAGTTTGTTCAATAGAAAAATCGATTTTTGTATGGAACATAATTTTTGATCTCTTCAAAACACGAAATAAAACTTGGCCCATTTTCACAGTTTTTTAGAAATGTTATAGCAATTTTTAAAAACCCATTTTAATTTTTAACGAGTCACGCCTATAATTTTTCGTCGGCCTATCTTAATATTCCCGCTAAATGGCGGGATTCAAATTTATTAGGAATAATTTTTTTTTTCATTTAAATCCAAAACCCGGGTTACGTATTCATTTTCCCGATGAATTAAGCCCCGACGTTTTATTAATCGTTCGAGGGATGACGCGGGGCCCAATTTAAAATTATAATCGGACACAATTTATACTGAATCCAATTTGGCCCAGGAAAAATCACTTTTCTATCATCTTTGTTAAACTCGGTTGTGTCGCGCAACGCCGTAAATCTGGGGTAAAGGAATTGCTTTTAGACGAGGGCGATGCGAAATTGGAAGGTATACGAAAGAAACTGGATCGTTTCTCAACTTTGGTCGACACTCAAAAGCGTGCAATCACGCAATTTCCGGCGAAATGGCCGCTACAGATGTTCTTTAAGGTTGGCGCAACAAAAAGCTAGCCTTAAGTTTCGCACTTAAGGCAGTGCTGAGGTCGTAGCTATGGCTTATGGCCAAAAAAAAAGATATTTCACCGATGTGAAAAGAATGATCAAAATTGAGCCGTAAACAAACATTCTACAGGAGTAATGCTTAAACGACGCCACCGGGACATTTCAATCACCCTGTATTCGAACTTTATGGAAATTAGTATAGTTCGGTTTTATGTAATCCTGAATAAGAATTCGTGGACACTTTATTTTTAATTTAATTTAATTAATTTATTTAATTTAATTAATTTAATTAATTTAATTAATTTAATTAAATTTGGCCATAAATTTTTATTGCAAAAACTCAATTTGAAATGTTAATGATATAAGTAGTTAGAACTCCAAATAATTTCTCAAAAAACTTAATAGTTCATATTTAAATATTCCTTAAGTACCCCTTCTCTCTTCGATCGCCAGCGGGGTGGAGGGCTCGGTACAAACCGGGAACACCACCTCGATGACACACCGCCCCAGACATAAGAGTGGGGCGGAAAAAAAGGTGGGCGAAGAAGAAGAGACTCGCCGTGACGGTTTCGGAATCGCAGACGGGCTCTCTTCCGGCGCCCAACGGAGGCCTCCATAGGGGGCACACCGGAAACGGCAGGCGGGAAGCGGAAAAGAAAAATGGGAGAGACCACCCAGGTTGGGGCACCTGCCGAGGTCGGCGGCCGACACGGGGCCCGGCGAAAGCTGGGCCCAGGAAAGGCGAGCCGTCCCGGGGGGGCTCTGAGAGGGGGGCTCGGTCCTATGCACAAGCGGTGGCGGGGGGGCCTGAACTGGTGGTGGACCTCAGAGGACAGGAAACTGACCTGTCTTCCGAAGACCTACTGCGGTTCATAGGGTCTCTTAACCTCCGCATAAGCATGTATATCATGCAGGGGGTGCAATACAACCTTCCCCGGATACGCTCGGTTAGGCTGTGGAGGAGCCACATCCTGATCGAGATGATGGATGAAGAAACCAGGGAGTGGGTTCGCAGGGAGCTGATCAACGTCAGGCCCTGGGGGCTCGCAAACCTGGTGGAGGTCGATCCGGAAGGATTGAGACTGAGAAGGGCGGCGATCTGGATTCCGGGACTGGGGGTGGGTGTCTCGAACGAGGCACTAGTCCGCTGCCTGGCAGCTCAGAATGGCCTAGATTGCCGTGCCTGGAGGGTCTGGCAGAGGACGGAGGATGCAAGGGACACAAGGTTGATGGTGGGCGTGGACGAGAAATCGGCAAGCGCCATCACGGCTAAGGGCTCACTTCTCTTCTGCCTGGCGACTCAGGTTAAAGTGAACCTGGCGGCGCCGAAGCCGCAGGGTGATGAGATCGCCGCGGGGGGCTCACACGAAGAGGGCTCGTCCATGGAGGTTGGGGGGCTTGTCGGAGAGGCGGCGCCCAAGCCTTCTGTGGAGGAGACCTCCGGATGGCCCTCCGAGGAAGCGAGAACCGAGGAGGTTTTTCGGATGGAAGTTGACCGGGGAATCCCATCAAGGTCCACCAGTCAGGAAGCGGAAGCGGAAGCGGAAGAAGGGCTCGGGCTCGGATTCGGGCTGAGGCTAGCATCGTGACCCGCAGGTGGTATTCCCGTAATAACATCTTCACGGGGATATTACAGATTAACCTGCAACACAGCAGGGCTGCAACGGCAAACTTATGCAGGAAAATTTCGGAGGGCGGTACATCCATTGTACTGATCCAAGAGCCCTGGATTGTAAAATCAAGGGTTAGGGGCTTATCTCTGGGAGGATCGATGCTGCATAGTGTCGACTCCTTAGAGGGCGGTCCCAGGGCCTGTATTTTAACCATGGGGCTGGAGGCCTTTTTCCTAAGGGACAAGGCGTCCAGGGACCTGGTTCCAATTCTGGTCAGATCCCCCACTCGGGACGGCATGAGGGAGGTAGTGGTCGCCTCTGCGTACTTTCCAGGTGACCGCAGCTGTCCTCCGCAGGAGATCAGTGACTTGGTCTCCTACTGCAAGGAGGCAAATCTTCCTCTTTTGATTGGCTGTGACAGCAATGCTCACCACGTCTTGTGGGGCAGCGCGGTAACCAATAGAAGGGGGGGAGACCTCGTGGAGTTCATGGCCTCTGCAGGGCTGCAGGTGGCCAACAGAGGGGTAGAACCCACGTTTTTCACGACGGGTCGGAGCTCGCTCATAGATGTAACACTTTGTACCAGGGCTCTGCTCCCGGAAATAACTGGGTGGTGTGTCTGTGGGGAAGACTCTATGTCGGACCATAGATACATCACCTTTGGGTTGGAGATGGGTGTTCGGGAACCCGTTAGATTTAGGAACCCCCGGGCAACAAACTGGGAACTCTATAGAGAGGAGCTCGCTTGGCGCCTAGGGGGCTTACCACGGAAACACCGGACAATGGAGGAGATTGATGAGGCCGCCGACCGAGTCAGCTCCGCTATGATACGGGCGTTCGAGAAAAGCTGCCCTGACACAGAGGAGCATAGGGCGGTGAGGACTCCTTGGTGGAGCTTTTCCCTGGAGCGTCTCAGGAGGAAAGTGCGGAGGCTGTTCAATACAGCGAGCAGCAGCAACCAAGGTGCGGACTGGGATCTCTATAGGGAGGTCCGCAGACAGTACAAAAAATAACTACAGGCATCACAGAGGAGGGCCAGGAGGGGCTACTGCGACGGAGTAATGAATACCCCGGACGCGGCTAGGCTCCTTAGAGTACTCAGAAGTGACCCTGCGGGAAGACTGGAAGTGGTCCGCAGGACCGGCGGTGGCTACACAGCGGGACCAGCGGACACACTACAACAGTTGCTGAACACGCACTTCCCAGGGTCCGCTGATCCGGACACAGGGGGAATATTGAAACCGAGGGTCGTCTTGGATGCGACTACGCCACGGCAAGGGGGGTGCTTACCCATAGTAGGCTGAGGTGGGCTATTGACAGCTTTGGCCCCTTTAAGTCGGCGGGCGGGGATAGAGTATTTCCGGCTCTGCTGCAAAGGGACGGAGGTCTCCTGACCAGCCCGCTGATGGACCTGTTCAGGGGGTACGTGCCCGGGCTGTGGAGACACAGCAGGGTGGTATTCATTCCCAAGGTAGGGAAGAGTGACTACACGGACCCGAAGTCGTACCGGCCCATTTGCCTCACCAGCTTCATTATGAAGACTCTGGAGAGACTGGTGGACCGGTATCTGAGGGACTGGGTGGAGCTGGAGGCCCCTTTAGAGCCAACTCAGCATGCGTCCCGAAGTTGCGGGTCTGTGGGCTCAGCTCTTCACCATCTGACTTCCAGGTTGGAGGAGGGTATGGGCTCGGGACGGCTGTCGGTGTGCGTGTTCGCTGACATCGAAGGGGCATTCAATAACACAGCCCTGTACTCGATCTGCAGGGCGGTTGAGAGTACTGGAGTGGGGACGGCCATTGTAAGGTGGATCCGCTCCATGCTAACCGACCGGAGGGTCGAGGCAAGACTGGGTGGGGAGCAGGTCTCCATCGGTTCATCACAGGGTTGTCCACAGGGCGGGGTCTTGTCCCCGTTCCTGTGGTGCCAAGTGGTGAACGAGATATTGCATATTCTGAGGGAAGAACACGGGGTCAATTCTCAGGCATATGCAGACGACCTTGTGATAATGACACAGGGGACGGACGTGAGGAGGATGAACGGGGCATTGGCATGATTCTCACAATGGTCCCTGGACAGCAAGTTGGCTGTCAATCCTGGCAAGGTGGAGATGGTCATCTTCACTAAAAAAAGGAAGATGGAGTGCAACCTCAACATTTCGGTGGATGGGGTGCCTCTTTCTGCAAGCGGAAGTGTCAAGTACTTGGGCGTATGGTTGGACTCTAAGTTGACCTTCCAGGAACATATAAGATCAAGGACCAGGTCGGCCTTTGGAGCTCTGTGGGCGTGCCGGAGAGCGGTAGGGGGCACTTGGGGCCTGGGGCCGAAGATCATGCAGTGGATATACGGTACCATGGTGGTGCCTATGCTCACGCATGGGGCAGTGGCATGGTGGCCGGGGACCAAAAGAGCCTGAGCAAGGCTAGTTCTTGACAAACTGCAGAGATTGGCTTGCCTCTGCATAACGGACGCCATGAGAACGGCGCCCACGAGGGCCCTAGAGGCTCTGGTGGGGTTGCCCTCTCTGGCGGATCGGGTGTCGATGGAGTCGGCCAGGACAGCTGTGAGGCTGGCGACCTGCGGGCTCTGGGAGGGAGGGAACCTTCAATCGGGGTCCGTACGACATTTTAGAGGGCTGTCGCGGGGATCGCGGGGTCATGGGCATGCCGAGTTACGTCATGATCCCCGAGATGACCTTCTTTGACAAATTGACCTTTCTCTTTCCATCAAGGGAAGATTGGAGAGAGGGCAGAGTCGGTTCCTGGGATGAACTTGTCTGGTACACGGACGGGTCCAGAATGGGAGATCTGGCCGGAGCTGAAACGTACTGCGAGACAACGGGATCGAGATTGTCGGTCCCTCTGGGTCAGTACTGCACTGTGTTTCAGGTGAAAATTTTCGCTTTATTGATGGCGGCCAGAGAGGTGCTTTGGCTCAATCACGGGAGCAGGAGAGTCTTCTTCTGCTCGGATCGTAGGGCTGCACTCATGGCGCTGAAAGGAGTGCAAAGGGGTACTGAGGAGGGTGGCTGAGGAGAGAAAGGTCACGTTGGTCTGGGTCCCGGGTCACACCGGTATACGGGGCAATGAGGCAGCGGACGCCTTAGCCAGAGAGGGCTCCTCGCATAGGCATATAGGGCCAGAGCCTCGCTTGGGGATCGCCCCGTGTGTGAGGCGGGGAGCTCTCGAGGCCTGGGCGAGAGACCGGGCCGCGAGGGGCTGGAGAGTTGCTCCGAGAATGAGGCAAGCGAGGCTTATGATAGATGGGCCCGCCTTTCCTCGGACCAGGGAGCTGCTTAGACTGACCAGAAGGGAGTGTAGGGCACTAACAGGGGCCTACACAGGACATTGCAGGCTTAGGAGGCATCTTTGCATGCTATGCATTGGAGACGACCCGGAGTGTAGGTGGTGCATGGAAGGGGAGGAGACCCCGTATCATCTGCTCACCGAGTGTCCTGCCTTGACATGGGCAAGATTGGGAGTCTTCGGAACGGCCCTGATCGATCCGAATTCAGTGCATCGTATTGGGCTAAAGGAGTTGCTGACCTTCTATAGGAGGGGCGGCATTCTGGGGGCACAACGGGCCCATATGGTAGCCTAAGCGCTTGGACGCCCGCGAGGGCGCCCCCCTTTAATACCAATACCAATACTAATACCAATACTCTCTTAAGTGTTCTGATAATATTGCTACTTTTTCTGACGACACTTTCCATAGGAATATAGTGTATGGGTACTTGTAATATACTTTTTCATGAGATGGACAATTAATTTACTTATAATCCTCCTGTTAACCAACTGAGGGCATTCAAAAATCGTACATCTTCTCCTAGAGGTGGTTTTCATAAGTTCAATGCGCTTGATAGGAGTGAAACATTTAGAAATGCGACTCTATTAATGAATCTAGGGGAGGGTGGGGCAAGGCGGCGTTTAACCATCAAGTCAAACTTTAACTAAATTTACCTAAATTTTGGCGAAGCTTCTGGCCATCGTGTCCCACTTTCCCCTATTTACAATGTTATATATAATAATTATAATTATTATTAAAAAGTATTTAATAAAAAAAAACGTTACTTATTAATAACAATAGAGTAGTTTTTTTAGAATTTTTAAGCGGTCCATTTTACCCCTGGTATTACGCAAAGGGCTAAAAATGTACAAATAATCAGAATTTATAATTGTTAGAAAATTGATGAATTTTTGAAGTGGGCCTCACTACCCGCTCCCCTATAGATAAATTTTCTTCTGGTCTCGCCCGGGAATAATAAAGTTCATAAAGTTTGGAAATTATATCGAAATGTATATCGTTTTTAAGGGTTTTGCATTTTAAGAAAACGTAGCAAATATTTTCTTTCCAATAGTCTATGAGCCCTATAACCAAGTTTCCCGTAGTTATACATAATTTTTCATAAGACGTTTTCATACCAGAGTAACAACGCTTAACAGAGACCAACTTAAGGACTATTTTCATTATCTTACTAATTTTCTGTATAAGCAAATTTCGATAAAATTAACAATATCTTTGTTGCTATCATATCCAGTCTATCCTTTGGTAGTTCACTTCATGTTTATTTCGTAAGATTCAAATAACCTCTGCGGATAACCATTGGTGTAGTCGTTTTTAGCTACATCAGACATCCCACAGGGATCTCATCTTCTCCCCTTATTTACTATTTATTATTTATGCCGAGGATCTTAAGACACGCACTTTTTGTAGCTCTCTGTTTCCCAAATTCAATAACTAAATAAGTAAAGCTCGTACATACAAGATGATTCATATTCACCACTTTTTCCAAGTTTAAACAGCTTCCAACGCCATTAAAAATAACTCCCACCTGCGCAGGTCTAAGAAAAGGTGACATTGCACCTTTGTTTTTGTCCTACAGGGGCTTTCTGAAAAGTTTGCATAACCTTTTTCCCTGTCTGCTCAAAAATTTTTTTCGTGATTTTCTTACAAGAAATTTAAACATACAAATTGTGAATTGGTACTTTGTATTCTAAATTGGTTAGGTTAGAGTTATATAACTCCCAAATTTGGTGCACTTCGCATACTTTCCGCATTATTACATTAGAAAGTAACTGAATAGACTATTTGCTATTTGAAAAAATAAATTAAACAATTTAAACCAAATTAACAAAGTTCTGAACAGAAAAACCAAATCTGCTATTTCTTTCATATTTTTTGCCTTATTTAAAAGGATATGTTTTAAAAAGAAACTGTTAGTTAGTTTAGTTTACTACGGATATTAATCGCTTATTCAATCTGGAAAGGATGTTCTCTGACTAAGCAACAAACCTATTTAAAAAGAAACAAACCTTACTTAATCTTCCATCGCGAAAATGAAAGCAAATGACAAAACGGATTCCTAGGTTATGATTCAGCTGTCAAACCGTCTACAAAAAATAAACTGCCCCAAATTTAATTACCCCTTGTTCCCTTCTACGGCCGTCTCCAAAATGTAGTGACGATGGGTTAATGTTGATAATGAAACCATTTACAGGTCGCAGATGTGGAATTTGACGAAGGATGAGAAAATCGTAACCTGTCCGAATTGCATAACCCCGGCGAAGACAAAGGTGACGTTTGTGGCTTACAAAAAGACCTTCTTGGCGTGCCTTTACTTGTTCCCGTTGATTATGTGCTTTCTACCGTTCGTAACGAAGAAATACAGGAGAGCCAAACATCGGTGCCGAGCTTGCGGGGCACACCTGGGCCAGTTCGAAGAGACCTGAGATGAGGTGCTTTTTTTTTCTTTGTTGGCGATTATTTATTTAAAATTATGACTCGAAAAATAAATCGATTGGTAAGACTGTCGTTTGTTTTCAACAAAAAATACAATTCTAAACGCGAAGTAGTTTTTCTTGTGATTACTCCATTCTAGAAATCAAAGGGAAACCTGAATCTTTTAATAATAATTTTCTTTGACAGCCTTATTTCCTAAAAATCAAAGAAAATCCAAAAGACCTTAAATATTTTTGCAGAAACGTGGAAGAGTTTGCAGTTACCACCAACCATAACACTAACGAATGTCTGTCGGAACGAATGGAAAGTATTGTAAATAGTTTTTCTCAGAAATATTCATAATCACTGTTTCAACGATTGCGAGACTTATCATTATCATTATCGAAAAACCAATGCCGTTCTTATTGCGAATCAGCATTTCCTTCGTATTGTCACCTCGACATTCTATTCTGACTTTATCCATTTAACCCTTAAAACGTAGAACATTTTTTTTACTCCTCTAAAACTCCCGCTTGATGTACAGCCACACATTCGCATAGTTTATTGCTTGAACTTCGTGTTTTCTGCGGCTTTCAGTAAATTTTACGTTTACATGGGCAATGGGTACAAGGTATAAAGCAAAAGCAAGAGCAATTTTATACATAGCGGTACTATTTCGTTGCCTTCCAACTCTTTGGTTGAGAGAATGTTTTACATCAATAAAGTGGTTCTATTTTCGGAAAACTGTGTAAATAATGAGTTAACCCAAATGTATAAAATTAAAAACAACACATAAACTAAGATCATTGAAAACACGTTACTAAAATTGACATTAAAAAAGGATTCTCGCAAATAAAAAAAATATTAGTGCTAATTCCTATGAAATCAGTTAACACCCGAAATAGGTATGTGTTTCTAACTACGAGGGTCGCTTGAAAAGTTTCCGACCTAACAATGATAACCAGACATTTTGTCTCAATTTTTTTACATCGTCTCCTCGTAACTCTATACACTTCCCCAGCGATGCTCCCATTTCTCTAACCCGTCCAGAGATGATTGCCACCTCATTTTTGTCCTCCGAGCGCAGTTTTCAGATGAGGGAACAAAAAGAATACGCTTGGTGATTTTTCGGTATCGGTTCTCCCTTTGCAGTCCACTGTTTTGACTATATTTTTGATTTGGGAGTATAATGGTGTATCCAAGTTTCAGCTACAGTAATCAGTCGGCGCCAAAACCCGGGTTTATTGCGCCTAAACTGCGCTAACAGAGGGTTGGAAACGTTCATTAGAACACGTTTTGGACAGATTTCTCATTCCTAAATCAAGATTTAGGCATGAGAAATAAAGGGTGACAAACACGTTCCTTGGACATTTTCATAACCTCTGCTACGTATCTCACTTTATTTTGATGGCCATTTAATACCATTTGATGAACTTTAGCAAGATTACCATCATTTCTTACAGTTTTTGGACGTCCCGAATGTTCATCATTTTCTAAGCTCTTACAACCACGTTTAAAAGCAACTGCCCAAAATTTCACTGTGGTAAATGACGGTGCAGAGTCCCCATACACAGAATCCGACGCAACTTTAATCTGCGTAGGCGTGTTGTTTTGCATTCGCTTCGCCTCACTCAAACGACTCTCAACTAAAAACCACGTGTCCAAAATGGCTGAAGCTTTGATAAATAATTATCCAGAAGTGCACACATACAATCACTACATTTTAGTTCACTACATTTTAGTAACTATTGCCGCCATCTTCAGGGTTGGAAACTTTTAAAGTGACCCTCGTATATAATGGGTGTTTTTTTTTTCGATGTATAAAACTTTAAGTTGGCATTACTGTTCAAGATGGCGACCGATTTAACAGCTGTCAGCTTAGCTTGGTTTGGCAATTCATCATGAATAGACTCACGCCTGCACAACGCTTGCAAATAGTGAAATTTTATTTCGAAAATAATGGTTCTGTGCGGAATACGTATCGCGCACTACGTCCATTTTATCGTCGACAAAATCGTCCATCAGAGCAGTTAATTCGATTAACCATGGAACTCGCACCACGTTTACTCTTATTGATAACTCGCATCCCCAGAGACGCCGTACGCTGCGTACAGAAGAAGCTATTGCTGCTGTAGAGCGTAGCATTGAGGAAGACCCGAATGAGTCCATCCACCATCGAGCACAGGAATTGTATCTGTGTCCATCCACTTTATGGTAGGTTTTGGGGAAGGATCTTGGTTTACGTGCTTACAAAATCCAACTCGTGCAAGAATTGAAGCCAAACGATCATCAAGTAAGGCGTAGATTCGTCGAATGGGCCCAAAACGAGATTGCCGTTGTTCCCGATTTTCATAAGCGAATTTTGTTTAGCGATGAAGCGCACTTCTGGTTGAATGGCTACGTCAACAAACTAAACTGCCCCATTTGGAGCGAAACTAATCCTCAAGTGTATGTCGAAACACCGTTACATCCAGAAAAACTGACTGTTTGGTGCGCTTTATGGACTAGTGGAATCATTGGTCCATACTTCTTCAAAAACGATGATGGCCAAAACGTTACAGTCAATGGTGATCGGTATTGAGCTATGATTACTAACTCTTTCATTCCTGAATTGAATAACCATGATGTCCAGGAGATGTGGTTTCAGCAAGACGGCGCAACATGTCACACAGCTCGTGCCACAATCGATTTATTGAAAGACACGTTTGGTGACCGTCTAATTTCACGTTTTGGACCTGTGAATTGGCCTCCAAAATCTTATGATTTAACACCGCTAGACTACTTTCTGTGGGACTATATAAAGTCATTGGTATATGCGGATAAGCCACAAATGCTTGACCATTTGGAAGACAACATTCGCCGTAATATTGCCGATATACGGCCACAAATGTTGGAAAAAGTCATCGAAAATTGGACGTCCAGATTGGATTACATCCACGCCAGCCGTGGCGGTCATATGCCAGAAATCATATTTAAAATGTAATGCCACAAGATTATCTTTCGGATAAATAAAAATCATGTCAATCAAATAATCCATCGTTGTTTTATTGCATCTTAAAGTTCTATACATCGAAAAAAAACACCCCTTACAACTACAATTTGCAATTAAAATTATGGATACAATGCTTGACAACTTGTGTCCGCATTTTTTAAACAGCCTAATAGCATTCTATTTGGACTCCTATACCCCAGATGTAACACAAGAAGTTCTCGCCCCCATGTTCTTATTGGGGCGATTGTCCGCAAACTAACTGTAAGTAAAGTGTCCTATTTGCGGCTTCGGTATCTTGGTCGAACGATTTCTTATGAGGGCACATCGCTGTCTGACCTATTTGTCTATGTATAAAGTTTGGATTCGATTCTACTTGTATGGAAGTGTCAATACGAACATGGTCGGTCTGGAATTACAATGGTCACTTTCGTTAGATTCAGTTTACTGCTAAAAGTTCAGATTTTCAGTAACTTAATTTTATTTAAACCCCGTTCAATAGACGCGATTATGGGTGATTTCTTGGCCCCAATAATTTTCCAAGACTTTTGGTAAAAATAATCAAAGCTAATTCTCCGACCTATAATATTCCGAAGACGTATTTTTAAAGATAAGGAAAATAGACAAAACTCCTAATTTACAAAAAAGTAACTTGAAGGTGGACGTCTTAATAACAAAAGCACCATGCCGCCATATTTATGCTTGTATATTGGACATGGAAAAAATCTTTTCCAGTTTCTGGACATGTTGAGAGCCTTCTACTTCTACTGATATTTGTTTGACTAACTGTTATGTACATACAGATTTGTATTTTTTTAATTTTTTTGCAGAACTTTGTGGAATTGTTAATATTTTTCACAGTTCTAACTTTGATTTAAAATTGTCAGGTTGTGTGATAACAACTCCCTTTGTCTTGTACACATTGTAACAATTTGATGGTACATTGCGTAAGTTATGTGCAGTTTGATTGACTTGATATTTTGACAAAATAAGTTTGCCGTTTCTGTTGAATCCCGCGAGTCAGTATTTACGAGCCAAAGCTAAATTGATAACAATAAATAACCACTATTCACTGAGCTATAGCGTCCCGGCGTTAGAGAAATTTTTTTTTAAGGCAGAAACAAAAGTATCTTTTAAATAATATAAAAATAAATTTGGGAAAAATAGTAAAGCTAATCTTGACTCAGTAGTACTAAACAATCTTCTGACAAATGACATTTCTCAAAATCCGACAATCTTTAAAATGCCTCTTACACAGTTTTGAAAAATCATAGCCTGTATGGTGTGAGAGTATATTTAGATTTCTGATGTATTCCTTTCTATTTCTGCTTGAGAGCGACCTCAAAAATTGTCTCTTTGTTTTGTTTACTACATATTAATTTATAGAGAACAATATATCAAAGAAAATAAGGAAATCGCAATTATCGTTAAAATAAAAAAAAACTGAATTTGTGCCTAGATAAAAGGCACACACACCCTTTAGTTACTAGATGTCAATTTAAAATAAGAATTCCTGACTCATGCCTAACGTGTGTTAAAATTTAAATGTCATTCAATAAAGTTGCTTCGTACGTCATCAAAAGAAACTCCGAAGTTGCCGTTTACTGCCGATAAGTTTTGACGAATGCAATTTTCGTGTTTCAAAGTGAGGGTGACGTCACAAAAGAAAATCCCCAACTTGTTTAGTTCACGCAGCGCCCAATTTTAGATCGATTGCTCAAGAATTGACTTGAAAAACCGCGTTTCGATTTTTCCTATTGAAAGTGGCTCGGCAAAGTACTTTTTTTCGACGACCGGTTCCAAAACATGTTTTTGTAGCAACCGGAAACAAATGGAATGAAAAATTTCGAATTTTTTTCATTTGAAATCCCACCGAACGAAAGAACAAGGAGAAACGAACAAAAGCAAAATAATTAATTGCTGGAAAATCGGATCCCATCGTTGAATCATATTGCTTTTTGTTTACGATTTCCCTTTTAATTTTTTTTATTTTATCGAGTGGTGGCGTAAAGTCTAAAGCAAGCAAATCAAATGGGGTGACACGTGAAAAATATTATTCTTAATTTGTTCATAAATT